ATAACATTACTGTTTCATGGGTAGTATAGGTACCTTATAAACAGAATATTCCTAGTTCTTCCTTGCCCTTCTAGCTTGTCTTTCATTTCATGTATCCATATGCTGTAGTCACCCAATACATTGTTGCCATTATTACTTTGATCACTTATCTATTTATTAGATCAATTAAGACTAGGAAAAAATGTAAGCTTTTCTTTTACCTTCATTTATTCCCTCCCTGATGCTCTCCTTTCTGTATTTATATTAGATCTATTAGTTATCTAATGATATAAAACTAATTAACCCCAAAATTTAGTGACTTAAAACAACATTTACTAGCTTATAGTTCTTGTGCATCAGGAATCTGGTTGCTGCTTAACTGGGTCTTCTACTCTGGATCTCTCACAAGGGTACAGTTGTCTCAGGCTCAACTAAGAAGGAGCCAAGCTCACCCATAATTGTTGACAGGATTCAGTTCTTCAAAGGTCCTTGGACTAACGCTTCAGTTCCTTACATGCTGTTAGAGGCTTTCCTTATTTCTTGCCATGTGAGCCTTTCTGTAAAGCATCTTACAACATGGCAGTTTTCTTTCATCACAGTGAGTGAGAGGGTAAGAGAGAGTGCCAGCAGGAGATAGCAAGCTAGCAAGATGGAAGTTAATGATCTTTTGTATGTAATCTAATCATGGAAGTGACATCCTATCACTTTTCCTATGTTTATTACACAAGAGTATGAATACCAGAAAGGCAGGGATCATTGGGAGCTATATCAGAAGCTGCCCATCATACTCATGCTTAATATGACTTTATCTTATGTGAATCTTAGATGGCCTAGGTTGACGATATGGCTCTCCAGAAAAATGTTACATTTGCTTCCAGGCGTTCCATGATGGAGAACTACTTTTTATATTAATTTCTCTGCTTGGGTCTCTGAACGCATGGGTAGTGAAAATTTGAACTACAAATTTGCTTGATGTGAGAGCCTGTAGATGAATTATCTGGCAAGTTTATATTACTTTTTCTCATATGACTTGAGGCCAAGATGAACAAGCATTCTGTACTGGTGGACTTTTTTTTTTTTTACCAAATTTCACCCTTTTACTGAAGGTGTGTCCCTTCAAAGATCTTAGCTTTATGCATAGTTCTCAATTCTTGTTCCCTACATAATTCAGCCCCAAATCCTCATCCCCTGTCTTCATGAGAGTATTAAGCCCTATACCCCTAAGGTACTGTGACAAGTTAACCCCCTCCAGAAACTTCTACTTACCTCTGGTTTTCATTTCTGGTTTGGTTTTGGTTTTTTTTTTTTTTTTTTTTTACTTTGCCCTGGCTATGCAGTTGAAAGGATTGTTTCAGAATACAATCCAGCATTTCCAGGGGTTTTATAGTGGGAAGATTTCAGGTTATCTGTATATTATTAATATAGTTCCAAATTGGATGTCCCCAAATTTTAATGTGTAAGCATCTATTTACTCAGCATCAAAATGAACCTATGTTTCCTCTTAACTAACCAAACCTTTAACACTTTCACTACTGTCCTCATTGTATCCCATTGAAATCATTTCTATAGTTTCAGGTTATGTTATTATTTTGTTTTTTATATCTATTTTTAAAATACATGTTATATATTTTTAATTAAGTTTATATTTTTAAAAATCATTTTTAATATTTTCATTAAGCTTGACCAGCCACTACCAATAATTGCTTTTTAACTTTGTTTTACTGAAATCTTTTCTTAGCTTTTTTATATTGCTTCTTTTCTGATTTATTTGGATATGTTTTTTGGAGGATACCCTTGAGTAATTCTTTTAAATATTTTGAGTCCTTGGCTATCTGAAAATAGCTTTATTTATTAAATATTTTAAGAGATTGGGTCTCATTATGTTGCCCAGGTTGGAATGCAGTGGCTATTCACAGGCATATTACAGCCTCGAACTCCTGGACTCAGGTGATCCTCCTGCCTCAGCCTCCTGAGTAGCTGGGACTATAGGTGTGTGCCACCGCACCAGGCAAATGGCTTTATACTTGCTATCACTTCAGTAAATATAATTTCTTTTTAACCTAGGAACATTGATGTGGCTCCATTATTATTATTATTTTTGCATCTAGTGTTACATGTAAGAGTTCTAATACGAATCCCAATTCTTGTTATTTTGCAGTTCTCTACTACTTCTCCTATTTCACTTTGGAAGTTTCCAGGTTTTTTTTTCAATCCTTTGGAAAGTCTGTAGGATTTTTGAATCTTTTTTATTTATCCTGCTTCACATTTATTAGATCCTCTCAGTCTAAAGATTTTTATCTTTTGAAATAAGAATGTTTCTTCTCATCTTTAATAATTTCATCATTTCCCTTCTCTAAGTTCTCTTCCTTTGAGATGTTTATTAGATATTAGAAATCTTTAGCTCTGTTCATGAAGGCTCTAATCTATTTCTCTCATACTATTTTTTCATCTATAGTTTTTTTACCTTATTCTGAGAATCTTTGCTCCTTCTAATTCTCTGATTCTTAGTCTCCATCCGTGTTCATTCTGCTACCATTCCATCTGTTAAGGTTTTATTTTGGCAATCACATTTTTGGTTACTCTAAGCATTTTTTCATATTTGCATCTTTGTTTTTTATGGATGTTACATTCTTGAATTTCTCTGAGGATATATATTTTTAAGTCTGTTTCTTTATATTAACTATTTTTTTTAGAATTTGATCATCTGAGAAAAACCAGTAGTATGAAAAAGAAGGCATCAATTTCAATAAATATTTGGTGTTCTCTAGTCTAATTGAGGATTTTGAGATTGACAAATATTAGTAGCTAATATTCCTTTGTTCAGTGGAGTATCTTCCAGAAATCTAAAGGACAAAAAGAATGGTGGATATTTACCCAGCCATTTGCAACCAGTTTTGTCGATCGATAAGAGTGCAGCAATAGGTAATCTTTTATATCATCACATTAAAGTTGCCAAGAAAGATAAAATGGAGTGCTATTTAAGAAAAAGAGTAGCTATTGGGTATAGGGCTTTCTTAAGTAGGCTGTATTATATAGTGTTCCTAATAAATATTTTGTTGCATTTTAACAAAGACTATAAATACAGAAGAGAAAAAGGGAGAGAGAAATGAGAAAGAGCAAGACAGGAAGAGAGATGAGCAAACACAGATCTACAGAGAAAAACTAAGACACTTTAATTTGTATAGGATGACAAAAATATGTATTTATTAAATATTTGCATCCATGACAAATCAAAATATTGATAATACTATTCTTAGTACCAATACCCTTAGAGTTATAAACATAATGAACAATGTATAAAATTTTCATCAATCATATCATCTGCATTGGATGTGCTACATAGGTGTCCATAAAGGTACCTTACAAGTTTGTGCTAAGTGAATTCTAAAAATAAGGTTCCAGATAATGTATGATTAAGTGCCAAACAGAGAATAGGCATGCACTCTATAGAAGTACAAGGGAGAATATGAGAGAACTCAGTAGGAGGATTCAGAGGACATTTCAAAGGACTTAAGCTGACTTTTGAAGAATGAGTACAATTTGATGAAAAACTATTCAGGAGAATGTAACAGCAACATAGCATACTTATTAAAATTAAATTTAGGCTGGATGCAGTGGCTCATGCCGGTAATCCTAGCACTCTGGGAGGCCAGGGCGGGTGGATTGCTCAAGGTCAGGAGTTCAAAACCAGCCTGAGCAAGAGTGAGACCCTGTCTCCACTATAAATAGAAAGAAATTAATTAGCCAACTAAACATATATATATATATATAAAATTAGCCGGGCATGGTGGTGCATGCCTGTAGTCCCAGCTACTCGAGAGGCTGAGGCAGGAGGATCGCTTGTGCCCAGAAGTTTGCAACAAAAGTGAGACTCTGTCTCAAAAAAAAAAAAAAAATTACTCTGGAGGGAGATTGCAGAGTTCAAATTTTGATTATGCCACTTCTTTGCTATATTACTTTGAAAAGATGACTTCTCTATGACTCAGTTTTTGGTTTTTGTTTTGCTTTTTTACTATTTACTATTTTACTATTTACTATTTACTTTTGCTTTTTTAAAAATAATAGGACCTACCTTTTAGAATTGTTATAAATAATAAATTAATCTACATAAAGCATTTGAATTACCTAAGCTTTAAGTAGAAACGAGATTTTTGGGTTGTAAAGGAACAGATCATATTCATTGGCCAGTAAATCAACTGACCTGCTTGGAATACACAGTTCATATTGGGGAGTAGTTGAAGAATGTGTTAAAGAAGTTACTTGGAGGCTGGGCATGGTGGTTTACACCTGTAGTCCTAGCACTTTGGGAGGCCAAAGCAGGAGGATTGCTTGAGGTCAGGAGTTCAGCCTGAGCAAGAGCAAGACCCCATCTCTACAAAAAATAGAAAACTTAGCCAGGCGTGGTGGTACATCCCTGTAGTCCTAGCTACTCAGGAGGCTAGGAGGATCCCTGAAACCCAGGAATTTGAGGTTGCAGTGAGCAATGATGACTCCACTGCACTCTACCTGGGGCAGCAGAGCAAGACCCTGTCTCAAAAAAAAAAAAAAAAAGTCACTTGGAGTCAGATCATGGATCATGTGGATCATCTTCAAATCCAGGCTAAGGAGTAGTTAATTATTCTTTTATTAAAGAGGGAAAAAACTCAAAAAAAATATAGAGAATATCCTAAATGACCTAAGTTTTAAGTAGAAAGGCCCAGCATTTGAACTGTCCTCTGTATTTCTGTCCACTCTACAGGGATTCTCAATAAAGGCATTGTTTGAAGAAGATTTATTTCCATAATATCCATAAGTCTAAATTTAGGTGATGGCGAGAGAAATGGGTAAGGAAGGGACAAGTTCCAAAAATGAACAGAATTGTACTAGATGAACTTTCAGCTCCTTTCTACCCCTAATGACTCTGTTGGCTTTCTTAATTCCTCTAGGTTTAGAAAGAAGATCTTCACATCATATGATTTACTTTATATAATTTTTATTTTCCAAATTTGTAATATGTTTTTCTCTTGTGTGATCTTTTACAGGTTTTAGATGGAGCAGGATTAGATATTGATTTCCATCTTGCCTCTCCAGAAGGCAAAATCTTAGTTTTTGAACAAAGAAAATCAGATGGAGTTCACACGTAAGTAATCTCTTTCAGTTGGGTTCCTTTGGCTCAATAATACCAGTGATTTATCTTTGAGGGAGGGAAATTTAGCACATTCATTACTAAGTGTCAGTATTAGATAATTCCTTGTGATTTTAAACAGTCCACAATAATGGGCCATCTTATAAACTAAAACTTTTTCCATTAACCTTTTTCTTTTTGTTTAGGCATTTTGTTTTGATCTTGACTAAATTTTTTCTTTGCTTTAGTCAATAAATTAGTATTCCCTAGGTATTGCATTCACTCTGTTGGGACATCTCAAATCTGCCTTTCTGGCTAGCACAGGCTTTCCATTTTAACTAAAAGCTACTGTTCTAGAGCTAGAGGCTGCAGTGAGCGATGATTGTACCCCTGCACTCTAGCTTGGGGGACAGAGCAAGATCCTGTCTCAAAAAAAAGTTACTATTCCAAGTACATGTCTTAAAGTTTCTTGAGTGGCTGGCTATACCATCTTTGTACATAGTTTTATGTCTCAAAAGAATAGTACAGTATATCTGTGTGTATATATGTGTCTGAGTATAAATTGGTTTTCATCACTCAGACCTCTTTCTTTTTAGATAATTGAAAGGTAATTATCTAAAAAGTAAAGGTAATTATCTGAAAGTAAAAGATCTGACCATGGGAAACTATATAGAAAGAAAATACTTGTTATAACTCTTTGAGTTCAGAGTTTGACAAAAGACCATATATGCTCTTCTGACATCTCACTTCCTTCTTTTCATATCTCATGGGTGCATTTCCCTGTTCCATTCAGTTATTTTACTATAGAATTTTTTAAGACAATATTATGTTAAACTAAACTGTGAGTTTATAGAAGGAGGAAGAACAGAGTATCTACTATTTGCCATAAACAAGGGTTGGCATGTTAATGCTTCTAAATTAATCTTTCCAACCCACTATGATATAGATTCTTTGATTCTGGACTACCATTTTACAAACAAGGAGGCTCAGAGAAGTTAAATAAGCCTGCAGGGAGACAGGATGGACCAAAACTCTTGCCTTCTACCATATGATGCTTAGAACATCCCTGGCACATAGCACTATTGTAAGTACTAGCTATTATTAAAATTATTGGTCTTTGTTAACTAAATGCCTGGCACATAATTGATACTCAGTTAACACTGAATACATGTATGAGTGAATAAGGGAAAAAAATGTCTCAACCATATTCTTAAGACAGTAATTGAAAATGCTTTTTTAAATAGTATTTTACCTATGCAGAGCTCAGGAAAATACTTGCATTAACTATTAATAAATAAGAGAACTAGTAATTTTAAAAATCAGTTTAGATTGATATACTTGGAATTAACTATATTTTCTTTTTGGTAAATTAATGAACAAGAACTAAAAATGTAATTTATCTTTAAATTTCAGAATACAGAAAATGTACAAAATTTCTGTCAATTTTTATTTCTCCTTAATTGTCTAATCCTTAGATAAATTAAAATTAACTGTTAGGAAAAAAAACATCCTATTGCTTTCTTATATAGAATCACCTCTCATTAAACTATTAGGAGAAAAGAATTGAGTTTATAATAGTTCACATTTATTGTGTTCTTTTGATGTGCCACGCCAGCGTTCTAAGCACTTTTCATGACCACAATCCTTTGACATACATAATATTATTATCATTTTACTGATGAGGAAATTGAGGCAGAAAATAGTTAAGTAAGTTGCTAGACGTTACACAGGCATTGAACAGCAAAGCTAGGATCTAAACCCAGACAGTCTAACTCACTGTTACTAACTATACCAAATTTACAAATCTTTCTAATAAACAAAACTTTTACTTTAGCCATATTAGTTTTGTAAAGGCAACTAAAATTTCAGTATGACACTGGTTTTTCTTAAGTAAATATTTGAAACAGGTATTATCCTCTAGTAGTCAGGATTAGTAAAAACGTCTCCAGAGAACTAAACAGCTTAAGTAATATCTATTTGTCTAGCACTACGTGGAATGAGGAGTTACATATAAATGCATTTTTCTAGACTGCTAGATTAATATTACCCACCAGAACTTATACATTTTACACTATTTGTGTATGCTTTTTGGTCTACCTAAAAGGAAAATTTGCTCTGATGCATTTTTCTTTGAATAATATTTTGTATCATTTGTAGTAATAAAACTCCTTTCTATAATCAACACAGATTTATTAATAGAAAGTGATTAATATAGGAATGACCATAAAGAATTAAGGCATCTTTGTTTGTTGTACACATGCTGAACCTCATACATCTAAGGCAGTATTTCTCAACCATTTTTTTTTTTTTTTTGGTTTTTTAACTTTATTTGATATATTTGACAATCAGTGGTTAGTTCTCATCCACGTTGACTGTAGATTTTTGAAAGCGGTAACAGGTACACAGGTAACCAAAGTATAGAGCTTGTTTGGTGAATCTTCATCCTCATTACGTTTCCTGGACAACCTCACACGAATCCTGTATGGGACATTCCTTATTCCTTTGGCCCAGACAGCTTTGTTGAGCCTGGTATCGATGTGCACATCTGGAGTTCCCATCTCCTTCATGGCAAATTTCCGGATCTCTTTGAGTGCCCAAGGAGCACGCTTCTTGAAGCCCACTCCATGGATGCGCTTATGAATGTTGATGGTGTATTTTCGGGTCACCACTTCGTTGGTAGCAGAACAGCCCTTCTTCTTCTCGCCACCCTTTTTTGCGGGAGCCATTCTGCCGGGCCCAAGTCAGAAAGCTCAACCATTTTTTCTTTTTACTCTCTTCCCCTTCTTGGAGCCTTTGTAGACATTCTTTTTCCTACTCATTCCCTATGGAATTTTAATACCACAGATATACTACATATGTTTTATATACTGTATGTTTATCTGTGCTTTATACATAAAAAGAATAGGTACAAAGCTTACTCTTTTTATTCAGTGCAGGGTTAAGAATGACTAAATGCAGTTGGGTTAAATAAAATTAAGACTAAAATTAAGTTAGAAATTAGAAAGCTATTAAAATTAAATTTAGGCTGGATGCAGTGGCTGACGCCTATAATCCTAGCACTCTGGGAGGCCGAGGCGGGAGGATCGCTCAAGGTCAGGAGTTTGAAACCAGCCTGAGCAAGAGCAAGACCCCGTCTCTACTATAAATACAAAGAAATTAATTGGCCAACTAAAAATACATATAGAAAAAAAAATTAGCTGGCCATGGTGGTGCATTCCTATAGTCCCAGATACTCGGGAGGCTGAGGTAGAAGGATTGCTTGAGCCCAGGAGTTTGAGGTTGCTGTGAGCTACCCTGACGCCACAGCACTCTAGTCAGGGAAACAGAGTGAGATTCTGTCTCAGAAAAAAAAAAGAAGAAAAAAAAAATTAAATTTAACTTTATAACTATTTTCTAAATAAGTTAATTCAATTTCTTTGCTTACATTGGTAATATCTGCATTAATTATATATGCAAAGTAGCAATTTATATAAATAACATAATAGCAACGTAATTAAAATTTTTTAAATCATTCAGAACTTATTCTTTCAGCAAAAGTATTAATGGTTGAAAAATAATATTAACTTCTTAAAATTATTTTTAGTGAAATTCACTTTTAATTTTTGCTTGATATGGGGAACTAATTTTAAATATGTACTAGTCATTCAGATATTATTGAAATTTTTTACCAGCACTTGGCATAACTTATGACAGGCTAAATTACCCTTTTAGCATGAAATAATAAAACATGAGCTAGTTTTATTTAATTCTCAAAGCATTGAGGATGAAACATAAACACTGAGGATCAAACATAAGGGAGCCAACAGTAGTCACTAGGCATGTTGTAGGCCACCTCTTGCAATATGACTTCAGGGTCAAGCAATCAATCAATCAAAAGTCCTCTAATCACAGCTATTTGCCGTAATTTTGTAAATTTACCGTAATTTTGTAGCATTGTTCTTACATAAATTTTGTGTACTTCCATGAATTCATGCTGCTCATGAGATAACCATATGAGAGAAAACTAAGGAATAAGATTTTGTCAGGTAGGGTTAAGCTTTGGAGGGCCACAGACCATTATTATCTAAGAATATTTTGCCCCTTTCTGAGCAGTATCACCCCCATTGAGAATGCATGGTGCTGTCCTTCAGAATAGTCATGTTTACTGGTTATGTAGTTACTGTTACAGTGAATACATTCATCTGAATATGATGTAAAATTTCCCTCAATTACAAACATCTTGGTTACAAAAAAAAAAAATAAAAAAAAAATAAATAAAATTTCCCTCAGGAAATGCCCCACATTTGGGTCGTATTACATTGTTTTTCCCTTTTTAAAAAAAATTTTTTTTCTTATTTTTATGTATTTTTATTTTTTGAGACAGGAGTCTGGCTCTTTTGCCCAGGCTAGAATGCAGTGGCACAATCATAGCTCACTGCAGCCTCAAACTCCTGGATTCAAGCAATCCTCCTGCCACAGCCTCCCAAGTACCTGGGACTATAGGTGTGCCACCACGCCTGGCTAATTATTTTTATTTTTGTATAGAGACTGTCTTGCTATGTTGCCCAGACTGATCTCAAATGCCTGGCCTTAGGAGATCCTCCTGCTTCAACCTGCTGAGTCACTGGAATTAATGCCTAAGCCAGTGCACCCACTGTTTTTTCCTTTTAAAATTATTCTCCACTGTCTTCACCAGAGTTTGCTCAAGCTCTGTCCAAAGGTTAAATATATCCTCGAAAGACAAAGGTTTGACATAATTGAGAGAATTACAAAGAATCCAGACAGGCTCTGAGCCATATTGTAGAAAGATCAATTAACCTGAGAGTCAGAAAACCAAGCTTCATCTATGTCCATAACAGGCCACATGATCATAGGCAAGTATCTTAACCTGTTTGAACCTCATTTAACTTAACCTTGAAAAGGTTAATTATGCCTACTTCTAACTGTGATGGTAAGGATTAAGAGAGAGAAAATACGTGAAAGCAGAGTTTAAATTATGAACAGTTATACGAGTATTGGCTATTACTATTTGTAGTATATATGTTAAAATCTATTCACATTGCTGAGTATTTTTGCTTATGATCAAGCAAAAATAATAAGTTGGAAATGAGAAAAAAGATGAAAATTGGCTTAAAAGGTCATAATCACAGGATGTATTCAGAAGGCTATAGTATACAAGCCTCCTAAAGATGTAAGTGATCCAGTGCACTGGCAATAAGAAATCTTCAAAATCGTTTATATCAACCTTCCATGAATAGTGACAACAGACTAAAATACAATTTGAACTGTGTTTTTCTAGTGTGAACTTTAAAAAAATGTGGAAAGTCACATCAGTAGTCACTACATAGTAATATGTCATAAATAGATAAAAGTGAATTGTTGGAAAATACCAATGATTAGAGAGAAACAAAAGAGTAGAGTCTGAAATGTTTCAAATGGATAGAGTCTTGATAGATGTAGTGAGTCTAAGAGGGCAGACCCAAAAGAAAACAATGATCTTAGGTTAGAGCAAAAGAACAATTCAGGTTTTCTTTGCTGAAGTGAGTGTGTGGCATTGGCAGGACATTTAAGAATGGCACACATTTAAGGAAGATTTGTTTTTGTGATGTCAGCCCCTATCCTCATGTCATCCCTTTGTTTCCCTCCCCAGTTTTTAGTAGCCTGGCCATTGAGTCCTCAAATAATATGAGAGAACATATAAATCCGCCTGGAGTACATGTATACATACATGCCTTTCTTTTAATGCAACATTTTACACTCCTTCCAGGTTTCTTGAACCTCTCCCATCTCACCCACTCACATACAAGGTAGCACTGAGGGCATAATCTGGAAAATGATAAGGAAGGAAGTTTGCTCAGTTTTAGGCCTTTAAATTGCAGTTAGCTCTGAGCATCTTGATTTATGACACTTAACTCAAAACTGACAGGTTTCCAAATGGATCTGTTTCCAAATAGAGTTTCACTGAAGATCTTAATATGAAAAGTATAGCTTGGGTCCTGCTTATGTCAAGCATGATTGCACAATGCTGCATGTCAACCAAAGGAAAGTATAGACAAGATATTTTAAGACAAAAAGAAGTACAAGTTAATGTCCGTTTAATAAAGATGAAGAAATTCAGGATATTAGAGGGCTACAACAGAACCTAATGCTGGACCACAAAGGATAAGAAACCTTAATCCAGAGCAGCACTCACTCCAGATCCCTACTGCAGTTCTAACTGAAGCCACCTTTAAGAAATTGAATAGAATCGGGTCATAAGCAGTTTAAAAGGCAGCTGGAAAGGTGCATTTACTTAGAAGTTCATCTAAGTAAATAGAAAACAATGCTAGACATATCAAAACCTTTAGTAGACATATCATTAGAATAGAGAAAACTGACTTTTGTGGGACAAGATTAATTCATTTAATGTGTGCACATTAGGTATACTGAATTTTTATAAAAGGCCCTTTGTGACTGCATAAAAAACCATATATGTATCTATCATCTGAATCAGTAGTTCTCACAGGATAATTTTATAAACTCAGTAGATTTACATAGACTTACAAGAGTGTTTAAGTTGGGTTTTTTTGTTGTTGCTTTTTTTTCTCTTTTTGAGACAGGGTTTTGCAGTATTGCCCAGGCTGGGTCTTAAACTCCTAGGCTCCAGGCAACTCACCAGCCTCCCAAGTAGCTGGGACTAAAGTCATGCACCACTATGCCTGGCTTTGAAGTTGACTTAAAGTGTTAGCAGTAGTCTCTTGTGAAATAATTAACTGAATAAGAACAACAGACACTTTGCTGATACATTATAAAAATGTAAATGACTTTTGCTGTTCCTTCAAGGAAATGGTGTTTGTTGTTTGAAGACAGCACTAGTATGTGTCATTAGCCTGTGGAATATTTTGCTTTTTAAAGTTTCTCTCCACAAAAAGTCATTAGCAAACCACTTTACTAAATTAACTCTGCCCAGGTCAATTATCTTGAATGTGAAAGTAATAAGACCAGAATCATAATTTCAGTTGAAATGTGAATGGCATTTATTCAATAAAGGAAAAGCCACTGAGAGTAAATTCTGCTGGCCACAGACTTCATCTCTAACCTTTGTACCCTGTATAACAAAAATATATCTTAATCAGTAGGGGTACTGGAAGAAAATACTTAGTCCATCACTGGACTGCTTTTAACAACAAAACTCAATTTACAGATTAATCTCAATTGAAGGGGAGGAGTAGGTTGGTAGCATTTGCATATGAATGAAACTCACAAAACTATTTTTAATGATGTATAAATATTAAAGTATATTATGGGTTATCATGTATCTAGGTTTCTAATTCTATCCTTTTCCAAAAATTAGGTAATTTATCATAATTTACCACTGAATAAGTGCCAAGCATGTCTAAGTTACAAGTACTTAAATGTATGTATTTCCAGGTTACCTCTTTCCCAAAAAATTGTAAGTTTTCTTTCAATACAAAGGAAATTTATAGGTAAGCTGTCCAATTAGAAACCATATTATTTCTTTTTTACCTTTAGTTGTTTTCCTTTGATCCCAAATAAGTGAAGATAACGAAAGACATGTACTTTTTTTATATAGCGTAGAAACTGAAGTTGGTGACTACATGTTCTGCTTTGACAATACATTCAGCACCATTTCTGAGAAGGTGATTTTCTTTGAATTAATCCTGGATAATATGGGAGAACAGGCACAAGAACAAGAAGACTGGAAGAAATATATTACTGGCACAGATATGTTGGATATGAAACTGGAAGACATACTGGTCAGTATGGTCTTTTAATAAAATAATAAAAATTATTAACATCCAGAGGCTTTAGTATGGTGATAGGCACTGAATGAAGCATTTTATCTGTGTTATCCAGGAAAATCTGTTTCTAGTATTTTCCTGTTTTTGCCATAAATACTTGGACATCATTTCAAATCTTAATTTTACCTTATATTCATATAGCCTTTTCAAATCACTTATTTTATCAGGACTCTATTATAAAAATAGCTTTCTTTAGAAGATATACAACTTAGAATGCATCTTGGTAAGCTTGTTTTATAAATGTGATATTGGAACATTTTTATATTATCAATAGATATTTTTGATATCAATATTATACTTTTGATATTTTGATATCAATATTATACTTTTGATCATATAGTACATACGTCTAAAATGAAATATTTTCTAATTTTACTACTTTGTGCAATTAAAACATTGGGTATTTTGCTAGATACTAAATTGGCCAGACTATCATTCAAAGAAGAAAATATTATAAACACAAGGTGTTAAGTTACATAATAGGTAATTACCTAAAGGTTATCATTAATTGGGTTTTAAAAACTAAATCATTGGCCAGGCGCAGTGGCCTGTGCCTATAGTCCCAACTACATATGTAGGAGGATTGCCTGAGGTCAGGAATTCAAGACTGCAGTGTACTATGATGGCACCTGTGAATAGCCACTGCATTCCAGCCTGGGCAACATAGCGAGACACCATCTCTAAAAATAATCATTTTCTTATGATTGTGTAAGGACTAAGAAAGAGATAATGTATGTAAAATTCTTGGTGCTGTGCCACTCACATAGTTTCGTATTATCTATTTGCAATTCACAATAGCTTTGTTCCCTTGTTAAATAACTATTTATAAACAATTTAAATATATCAGGAGAACGATTACATAAACTTACAGAGGATCTTTAGGTAATATAAGTAGTACTTGTCCCTTAATTGAATTATGTACCCGTCTATCATAAAATTGGGTTTGGATAAAAAACATGAAGCTCATTTTAAAATTAACTTAAAATTTCTGAGCATTCTTGAATAGTAAAATTATTCTATTTATCTCCAGGAATCCATCAACAGCATCAAGTCCAGACTAAGCAAAAGTGGTCACATACAAACTCTGCTTAGAGCATTTGAAGCTCGTGATCGAAACATACAAGAAAGCAACTTTGATAGAGTCAACTTCTGGTCTATGGTTAATTTAATGGTCATGGTGGTGGTGTCAGCCATTCAAGTTTATATGCTGAAGAGTCTATTTGAAGACAAGAGGAAAAGCAGAACTTAAAACTCCAAAACTAGAGTACTTAACATTGAAAAGAAAGGCATAAAAAGTCAGTAAACTATTACAGTCAAGACCATTAATAGTCTTTTCCAAATTGTTTTCAGGCATCATAAGTATACTTTTAATGTGAAAGGAAAGCCTTCACTTTCTGTGCAAATAATCTTATTGGTCCAGTTGTACTTAAGCGTATAAGTTGAATATTTTGCAGAATGTAGGTTTAACTGAATGAGCCATATTAATAACTACATTTTCCTAAATTTGAAAAAATTTTACAAATGTCATAGGTGATTTAAATGAGCAGTGGGCCTAAGTGCAACATCAGTCTGTTTTTAAAAGGTTCTCTTACCCAGAACATTCTTTGTAAATGTGGCAATTACAAATTAATTGTAGAAGTTTTCAATATTAAGCTATAAATCATCTGAAAATTAATTATGGATTAAATATATCTTTCGAAGACAAAAGGTTCAACTTTTCTGTATTTACATATGCATGTCTCCTGTAATGTAAATAGATACATAGCTTTGAAATACAATTAGATTTTTGAGATTTTTATATCCAAATCTTTCAATGTAAATATAGCAAAAAGTATTAGTTTTATATACCTAGCCTACATCCCAAAAGTTGGCATTTATATAATTCTTAAAAATGCAAAGTTACACTTTCCTGATTAAAATTAGGTCAAGTTTTCGCTCTGAACTGAAGAATATATAAAGCTAGCTTGGTTTCTATAAGGACCCATTCTGTCTAACCCTTAACTAAGGTATAGGATTTTAAAATGAAATGTGAGTTAAATAAGTTTATTTTTATATTATCTGTCAACAGTGTTACGTTAATTTTAACATGATTACTGACTTGAATAATACATTATTATCGGCAGTTTTGAGGGAAATGTTGTTAAACAGATCTGGGCCTAAAATAAATAAATTATCTCCTTTTCTGAGGCTGGGCATGGTGACTCATGCCTTTAATCCTAGCACTCTGGGAGACCAAGGCGGCCGGATCGTTTGAGCTCTGGAGTTCAAGACCAGCCTGAGCAAGAGCGAGACCCCATTTCTACTAAAAAAAATAGAAAATAGCTGGACAACTAAAAATACATATATAAAATTAGCTGGACATGGTGGCACATACCTGTAGTCCCAGCTACTCAGGAGACTGAGGCAAGAAGATTGCTTGAGCTGAGGAGTTTGAGGTTGCTGTGAGCTAAGCTGACATCATGGGACTCTAGCCTGGGCAACAGAGTGAGACTCTGTTTCAAAAAAAAAAAAAAAAGAAATCTCCTTTTCTGAGTTCTAAAAATTATCATAAACAATGAAAAAGAATTTTGGTGAGCTTGAGAATACCTGATCCAAAATAAAGTTCACTTACATAGAAACTTAAATAAATACCTGGAATCTGATGGGCTCATCATGACATCCCAATCTTAATATAAATCATAGACTAATTTCCAGTTAACTGGAAGAAACTGTATTTGGCCGTCAGTTTTATTTTCTATAAGTATTCCATTTTGAATTATCTTTTATAAGTATTTAGGTACATTTTATGAAATATAAGCCCTACTGTAAGTTTTAGCATTGTGTGTACATATTACAATTTTTATTGTAACTTTTATAAAATGGCCTTTCTGATCACTATTTATTGACATGGAAGTAAGGATTCGAAACACCTGAATGTGAATAACTCATATATACATAAAAAGTCTCTGTCATCCTAGCATATTGAAGTCTATGGAGTCTCACTCAAGTACTAGTAATTTAATTTCATCATGAAAGAAATAGAATTTTTAAGTAATACCCATTTGTAATATTGTTTACAACAGATATATTGTGAGGTACAATCATGTTAAAAATTTGAGTATAGAACCCATCGATAGGTTAACACTGTTGGAATTCTTGGAAAGCAATAATAACTGAGAGATAGTGATTTATTTCATTTACAATTTACACTCAGTAGTACAGAAAGAAACATTTCCCTCCTTCTTAAGCTCTTGGGAGAACAGAAGCTTAAATTTCCCTACTTGGAGGCTTTTAAAAAAATTAGTAAATGCGATATATGATCAGTTACCTTAATTGGCCAAGAAAGTGCTTCAGGTGTCTGGGAGTAGCCCCTGTAACACTTGCAGAACAAAGTCAATAAGATCATTGCCTACATAGACCCATCCCTTTTGCCCTTTCTATTAAATTCATTATGAGAAGCAAATTTACAGTACCATAACTAATAAGGCTGGATACAAATATAAACTACTGCATCTTTTCTATAAACTGTGATTAAGAATTCTACCTCTTATGTATGACTGTTACTGTACTATACTCAGACTTCTTACCTAACACTGAATTTGTTAAATCATTATCTACGTATTATGATTTGTGCCACTGATTTTAAACCTATAATTCTGTTAACTTCTTACCATATAAAAATAATATTGGCTTTATTTGGAAAACAATTTAGGAATATTAAGGATAATTTTATTTTTATACACACAAAGTAAAAAGATATTTAAGAAGCATGTTTAGCTGTATTAACTAAAAAACATAAAATTTGTAAAGAATAAGAATCTTTAATATTTCTAAAGGCATACTGTTTATCTGCTTCATATGGTTTTTTTAAAGTTGCTATTCCATTTCTAAATTAAAATTATGCAAAAATTCAGTAAGCTATTTGCCACTTTACAGCTGATTTTATCTTTGGTTTTTAATTATATAGAATTTTTAAATACTACAATAATTAAGGTCTAGAGCTTCCTCCAGTTTACATTTGGATGATTAATGATTAATAAATAATCGATGATTAATGGATGATTCTTTCATGTGAATGTCAAGACAAATGTTTGAAAACTAGCATTTTAATAAATTACAAATTAAAATGTTATTTTATGGTAAATATATTTATTCTTAAACATCATGATGTCAAAAATGAGTACTTATATGCCTCCTCAAATAAAAATTATTTCCCTAAAATTTTAAAAGAAATTGATTCAGCATGTAATTTTTCATCTGGTACATAATAATTCACAATCAGTGTTGCTGAAATTGCTGTATAGTTATAAACAGCCATCTTAAATGAGCAATGTGATATGAATACTGAACTGAGTATATATAATAAAAATTACTATCAAAGATTGTAAATGCTGTCTACTCCTTAAAGCCTTTCTTGATCTCAATCTTAATTAAATGTGCTTTCCTAATGGCACCAACCACCAGGAGAGAGCAAGGAGCAGGTATTCCCTCAGAGCCATCAGAAGGTACCAGCCCCACTAACACCTTCATCTCAGAATTCTGGCTCCCACCCCTGTGAGAGGAAACATTTCTGTCATTTTAAGCCACTCAGTTTGTAGTCCTTTGTTAGGGCAGACCCAGGAAATTCACACACCCTCATGATTCTTGTGAAATCTTAGAATCTCACTCTAAGAAATACCAAACTGATCTTAGGAGCAAATGTTGGACAATCCAAGTTTCCTTTGCTCTCTCTCTCTCTCAAGGGAGCATACTCTAGTTTAAATCTGAAAGGAAGACGGTGTCTGTCACACTGCTGGTTTGCACCCCAAAACTACGCTAACTTCTGAAGCTGTGTGTGGTAAGGAGCTAATAAGCACAAAGCCTTTTGAAAATAGGGTAAGAAAAAGAAATAGAGGAGTTGTGGATCAGAACACAAAGCAGGATATCAGCCTCTGCTGATATCTGCAGGATATCTGCCTCCACTCCCAAGAGGCTTGGAGTCCAGTGAGAAGGGTAGGTGGAGCAGTTTATTTCTCACTCCCCCACATCTCTGGCATTCAGTGGGCTCCTGAGCTGCTGGAGAGCTTTTCTACCCACTCAAGCCCAAAAGTTGCTGCCACCAGTGAACTAGGAGTTTCATGAGGACGAAGCACCAATCTACTGGTGCCCTTGGAGTCACTCCCTAACACTGCAGACCCAAGTTGAAAAGGCAGTCACCATATTGCTTCTCTACCCACTATGCACCTTTGTCCTCTACAGGAAGCCTGAGCCTCTCAGTTTTTGTCTGAAACATTCCCACACAATCTGTTCCCAACTCTGGCCCAGACTGCGGGAGCCAAAGGAAGCTGGTAGGTCTCTGGGGATCTCTGTGACCCCACAGGCTAAACATTCTGGCTAGTCTGCCTTCTGGTCAGGTAGACAGATATGACCAGAGTGCTAGCTTTCTTCCGTTCAGACCCTTCTGCCCTCCCTGGCTGCTGAGATGGTTGAGCCTGGGCTCATAGGAACTGTTTTTCCTCTTGGTGCATCTACCACACCAGGTCTCCCACACAGTGTGGGGCTCAGGTTTTTCCTCTGGGGGTCCTGCAGCAGACTGAGGAGTACTCAGACTGTGAGTTCCCTGGTGCCGCTTGCCCGGTGACTTCATTAAGGCAGGGCACCCCCCCCCAGGCAGAGAAACATAGAACCTGTTTGGGCACCCCCTGGGCAACTTGGGACCAGTGTGTTTCTCACTGGTATGTTAAGGGATTGGTCTTTGAGGACCCAGAGACAGGCCCACAGAAGAGATACTGTACCCCCAGTTCTCAATCACATTGCTTGGGGGCAAGAAGGAGTGATTTGTGATTGGGTGAGACTACTGTGGCCCCTCCCTGGTGGCTTTGCCTGGAAACTGGGAGCAGACCTTTGGTCCCTGCTGAAACATACCTTGCCAGCTTTGATGGAGCCTGAGGGCAAGCTCACCCAATGCAACCCCACCCAGCCTCAACTCCCCCACCCACCTCTGCCATGGTGGAAAAAACTTTGGACTCCCCTGAAGTTCCAGGACCACACCTACCCCCTGGGGCAATCAAGTGCTTCTCCTGAGGGACTAGAACTGGTCACAAGACCCAAAAACAACATTGCAGCTTGTTCCTTCAGGCAAGTACCACTTACTGACAGGGGTTTTAATTTGCATGCCCTTTGCAACATATATTGACACATCATATAGGGTGTAGTTGAGTCTTACCCACAAGCACCACCATCTCAGAGATTAAACTGCGTGTGCCATTATCTAATTAAAAGAAAATCCAACAATAAGAAGCAAAAGCTGCTCCAGATGAGAAGAAATCAGCAAAAGATCTCCAGATACATAAAAAAATCAGAGAAAACGGACACACCCAAAAGAAAATAACTGTACCAGTGGAAACCAACTGAGAATATTGAAATGACCAATAAAGAATTTCAAATAAGGATTGTAAGGAAGCTGAATGAAATACAAGAGAAAATAGAAAACCAACACAAAGAAATCACAAAAACAATGCAGGAAACTAATGAAAAATTCACTAAAGACACGCCTATAATCCTAGCACTCTGGGAGGCCAAGGCAGGCAGATCGTTTGAGCTCAGAAATTGAAACCAGCCTGAGCAAAAGCAAGACCCTGTCTCTTCTTTAAAAAAAAAAAAAAAATACAAAATAACTGGACAACTAAAAATATATATAGAAAAAATTAGCACGGCAAGGTGGTGCATCCCTGTGGTCCC